CTGACAGCTTGCTTAATTTTAATTATAGCAATAGAATTAATTAATTATATGCCTAGTGTACAAAACATGTGAATGCAATTCCAAATAAATGATACAAGATATTTGTTCCATATATTGTATTAAAAGTTTATAAGAGTGTTGAACGTTCTATATATTTGCACAAGAATGAGCGTTGAATAATGCACACATATTCAATAATGTATTCAAATATGCATAGGCGGTTTAGACTGAAATTTTAACTGTTTATTTGTACATAAATACAGTAGAGTTTTCATACAATGATCACTCGATATAGTAAATAACGTTATTAAACTTTGCTAGTCATCATGCATATAACTAATTTTTGTGGTAAATTTTCATCAAAAGTAACTTGTAGATTACAAAATTCACAATTTTCCACTTTCGAATTAGATATATTTTTTAACATATTACAACGTATGTACCGCTAAACCATTTTAAACTGTTTCACACAATTTATATATAATTGCATGTCCCAATCATTTGTTAAGTTAGAATACCCCCTACTAAATTTGTACTCTGAAGTTTTACTTTTAAAATTGGTGAAATAATTATCCACCATTCTTACAAACACATCAGACATAGTTACACGACCTTGATAACCATAACTTTTTAGCAATGCTAACAATTTGTATATTCCTTATGATTTTTACACCAATAGAAATTACATAATATAAATCAGTTTGTTTCGGAAACAAGTGCACAGGCTTCACCAGACTGCAATAAAAATTATAACCCATACACACAACATAAAAAATAACAGCTCACGTTTAATATTATCAAAGAAATACGTGTTAAAATTGCTGTGTTTATTGTCTTTATTCTATATTAATTATTCAGCAATTTCAACAATAAGCATACTTTCGGTATGATANTGAGTTTTATATAAAAAAAAAACTGTTAACGCTAATAACGAATAAAATCGTTGAAAATTAATTAACTTCGACCTTACCGGAGATACACCCGACTGCTATTATCTTTCGTTACAAATTTTAGTATATCCATAAAAAAATACAAAAAATACCCTGTAACGGCTGCTAAGTGAATATGCAGTACATGTATTATATTTAAAAACGAATAAAGTCAGTTGTTCGCATACATTTTATTGACCAAATTCAGCAAATTAGGCCTAATAGTAAACTCTAGATGAGCAGAAAATTTAAAATATTTGAATCAATTTTTATTCCATACAATTATTATTGATTGAAAGTTCTATAGGACACATGATTTGTACTGACACTTTTGTTTACTTAGTAGAATAGAAAAAGCCAAAAATAAGAGATAAAATATGCCCGGTGATCTCCCTTGGAGATCACCAGGCATATTTTATCTCCCTTGGAGATCACTTACCTTAGCCAGGTGACATCTCTCGACATCTTTCCCTACGACTTAATTTTAGACAAAGTGTTCGTACTTTTCATTTTTAAACTGACTATTGCAAGCATCACCTGGCAGAGCTGAGAAGTCATCTTTCGTAACGCTCGATTCGTTTCTCATAAGTCTCACTTATAAATAATTCATTTATAAAATTTCATTCGAAAATTGCTTACAGTCTGCTGATTGAATAAGTTCTAAAGTTATTTAGAATTTTTGAGTACGTTAATTCTGACTGTTGTCTAATTACAGCGATTGCGTTCCGACACGTGGTTCAGTAGCGTCACAATATATAGTAAATTAGAATTACTCTTGTCGAGCTATTTGACCTCACGACGTAGCGACATCTCGTGGTAAAAAACAGAACTACGGGTGCTATGTATAAGTAGGTCCCAGTTTAAATCTGCGCTATTGTTGAAGTACGATTTCCTGTAAACAACAGTATTAGTATTACCCGTGTACATTACATTAGGAATAAAAAATACACACTAATACTTACATTAAAACTTCTAACAACGTCTGTAACGACACCGAAAGATAAAGAAACAAAATTATAATGACGAGTGAAAGGTTACGATGAGGCTGATACCCCAAACCATTCATTACTGTCTTTTTGAATTTTCCATTTACTGTACATTCGAATGATTCGTCAGGTTGTTGGACGATAAAAACGATAAAGTCCGACATCGGACGAATCTTTCGAATGTTCTTTACCGCANGTATACGATTTCCCGCAACACTCTCAGGAAACACATTCCATCTGTCAATTGGGTTTGTTTTAAGAAGTTGTTGTTAATTTCACTTTATATTATGACAATAGAAAATTCGACATAAAAGTAGCCAATCACTTCGATGATCCATTCTCACTTCTAAAAACATGTGATGCCGGATGAACCACCCACATGTAGAAGCAGACCTATACAATAAGCCAGAGTAGAAGACACCTGTTTAAGCTTATCGTTAGTTTTAAATAATCATTATGTCTAGTCAAGCAATTAAAACCTTTGTTAAGTTAATTTGTCTTAAATATTCTAGAGATTGTTACTTACTATAAGTTATATAAAGAAAATGTATGTGATATAATTACAAATGAGAAAGTTGTTTATCAATTTACAATTCAACCCGCTATGTTTTTTTTGTTCTTTATGTTAACTATATGAGAACATTTTCAAACGCGATATTAGAGAGTACATTCATTGAAATAAATCTAAAATAGTTGTTAACTCTATCTTCCTCGATATTTTCTACAAAGAAGTGTAATATCTTTTATAAATAGATCGGAAAAATTATAAATAGCGAAAGCATTCGGCTTGTCGGAAAAACAATTTGTAAATGAATACTTACATTTCCTTATAAATTGCAAATCACAATATTCGGCTGATAGCATTAAACAGAAGATAAAACTTATCTCTATCGAAACTCAATTTATTACAAACATTTGCAGTACAAATGAGTACAATTTTATTTATCACCCACTGTAAACTTAATTGAACGTTATACATTCAAATGTTTTACATTTCTTGCATGAAACTCTTTAACTCGACAGATCACGAAACTAAACTGAAAGAATCGCAAGAAAAATGTTCAGCTCCGAAGAAAGTCTTCAAGTAATAATTTACAAGACAGGTATTTCCTAACAAACCTTGCCATGCCATTACGACATGTAAAAGATAAAAAGCATGCTGCAGTTACAACTAAGTTTGAAAACTGGATCTATTAATACGGAATTTAATTCCATGTGAATTTTACACCAATAGAAATCACACAATAAAAATAAGTCTGTTCTGAAAAAAAGTTTGAAAGCTTTACCAGACTGCAATAAAATTATAACTCACATACACAAAATAAAACATAATAGCTCACATTTCATATTAACAAAGAACAAAGTGTTAAAATTGCTGTATTTACTGTCTTTATTTTATATTAACCATTCAGCAATTTGAACAATAAACATACTTTTGGTGTGATAAATATACAATACTCTGATGTGGTAAAATAGATTAATGGAAAAAACTTTTGTCTAATTAATATGCCATTTTTTCCAGAAAATGCCAATTTTTATGCTGAACAACTTAGCATGCAATTCTGAAAAACTATTTTCTTTAGTCGGATATAGTGATAACGTTTAGTACTCGTGGTTTTGTTTGAAACCACGTATCGTTTGCCATAGGGAGAATTCACGGTGTCTCAAACACTCAATTGTACGGAGAGAAGATGAATTATTCGATGCACTTGACTTCTTCCATGGAATCAAGGACAGTAAGTATTTGCATTTTTTACAACTATCACTTTTATGACGAACAGTATTGGTGTTTAACCATTTACTCAATTATAGATGAAAACCAACTACCATTTAATGTTCACCCATTAACAAAACACGAAATCGAATTAAATATTGCGATGTTTCCAACAATTACCGGCTGTCATATTTGTCATTTTTCATTTACAACCGAAGAAAGCATTACAGTTGAAACAGCAAAAATGCCGTACGTATCGAAGCTATTCAACATACCTTAAGAAAAACTGAAGTGTGTCGTCGGAATTAGAGATTATGGAATTCAATTACTTGTCGATGGAACTGGTTTATGCAGTACTGTACTTATACGCTCGAAAGAAACATAAGAAGGGATCTTGCTTTCTATGGTGAGAGAGTTCAGGCAGTTTCTTTACGTATCAATTTTACCGAATGCNAACTTTTGTCTAATTAATATGTCATTTTTTTACAGAAAATACAAATTTTTATGCTGAAAAACTTAACATGCAATTCTGAAAAACTATGTTCTTTAGTCGGATATAGTGATAACGTTTAGTACTGGTGGTTTTGTTTGAAACCACGTATCGTTTGCCGTAGGAAGAATTCACGTTGCCCAAACACCCAATTGTACCGAGAGAAGATGAATTATTCGAGGCACTTGACTTCTTCCATAGAAACAAGGACAGTATTTGCATTTTTCACAACTATCGCTTTTATGACGAACAGTATTGGTGTTTAACCATTTACTCAATTATAGATGAAAACCAACTACCATTTAATGTTCACCATTTAATGTTCACCATTTAATGTTCACAAAAGACGAAATCGAAATAAATATTGCGATGTTTCCAACAGTTCCCGGCTTTAATATTCGTCATTTTTCATTTACAAGCGAATAAAGGGTTACAATTCAAACAGCAAAAATGCTGTACGTATCAAAGCTACTCAACATACCGGAAGAGAAACTGAAGTGCGTCGTCGGTATTAGAGATTATGACAACGCACTTCAGTTTCTCTTCCGGTATGTTGAGTAGAAATGATGTAATTTGAAAATAAAATTATTTATAAATACGTATGTCAAGTTATATTTTCATTACGACGCAAAATATATTTAAGAGTTTACGGCCACTGTGCTGGCTGAGACGTTGTTGAAACAAAAAAAGCTATGCATTCCATCACGTACATAAACAGTATCGTAATTCGCCAAGTGCAAATCAGCAAATTCGTAAAATTTTTGTTTATTTTGAACAATCCGGATAATCGAAAATCCAGATAATAGAAATCCGGATAATCGACGTTCTACTGTATAAGAATTTCTGTTGAAATAATTCAATATAACTTTGAAAATGCAAGATTTATAAATTGAAAATTTATTATCTGTATCTAAAATTTACATAAAAATACACAACATAATTATAAACAACTCGACTAATGACATTCAAAAAAAAGTTACATTAATAAGCACCTTAAATCTAAATTTTTTTGTAAACCCAATAAATTCGTTATGCTGTTCACGTACACATACATTTTGCGAAAATTTTACAGTGATACAATAAAAAATAATCATATTCAAATTTAACTTTATATTCTCGTTTAGATTTCACTTCTTTTCAGAGTAACTTTTGACTTCAAAAATATAAATCAACCAAAAAGTAAATATTTTCCATAAGGTTTCTGTCACAATTAAGAAATTTGTCTTCAAATTTCCTGGCATCTGTACCTTCGTCGCTCACAAAGTAACTCAGTTCAGGTGAAAACTCGATATCGGGTTGGACATTTTCAGTGCGGAGAAAGAAAGCAAATAAACGAATTGACCAATATTTTTCTAGATACAACTTCGTTTCCAGATTTGCTACTCCCCGTGGATTGCAAATGGTTTTAAACGAAAAACACTCGTTATCCACATTGTTAATATACGCGTATACGTACATTGGAAAACTTTCGCCAAGCTTAACCGGAAATCGAAAAACCGTGATGTAACAATCTTCCTTCACAACTACTTCGCTGCTAAAAAATATGTTACCTTTCATCTCTCCGTTTGCGACCATAAAAGGATCTCCACGATTTATGTACGAGAACAAATTATGATAATTTATTCCTCTTCTTGTTTTTGTTTCTCGACTGAAGTAACTGGGAAAAAAGGAATAATTAACAGTCTTAAAAGCACGCCAGATATGACTCTTTTCTACTTCGTTTAACAAGTTCATTGTAAAAACATAAGATTGCAATTCTTCTTCATTCATGGCAAGAAATCTGACTTTTCCAATAAATGGCTTCATAACATTTCTTATTTCATTTCTTTTCGATTCTTCGTTCATCGAATAAAAATTGACTGCACCCAATTTTCTTTTAACTTCTTCTATGCTCCACTGATACACGGCGTGTAGTAAAAGTGATTCACTGACAGATTCATATATCGCTCGAGATAGCAGTCTATCAATTGTTGCAATTTTACAGCACTTAAAGTCGACTGTTCTAAATAATCTTCCTCCGTATTGGTTGAAAGCTACCCAGCAATAATAAATTATGGTTAGATCATCGATCTCACGTGCAAAATCGTGAATTGAACAAACGGTATTCAGTTTTATTTTCTGAATGATAAATGACCTGCATTTCTTTCTTAAATTCTCTAACTCGTATCTTAAACTCAGATGATACATGTCGAAAGCGTTTGTAATATAGGTCAATCCGGAATCGTCCGTCTGTAAATAACTGTTTAAAATATATAAATTATAATTTATGACAATATATCGAAATTAAATGAAAGATAAGTATCGTGAAAAAGTTACGTAACAAATTGTCTGATGGTCTCGATTGGATAAGGCATAAACAGTACTTTCGAATTTTCAAAATATATAATATAATGTTCCAATTGCCTGTGCAGGTCTTCATTTAACTCAGCTTCTGGTATAATAATCTCTTCGTTTTTATCGTTTCGGATTCGTATCTCACTCGAAGAAATCCTAAAACAACAGAAAAATATTTATTATTACTTTCAAACAAACATCTCTGTTGTACTGTACGGTAGTTGTACAACATGTTAATACTAATATGAATACTTTTGTTAATGTAAAGATTTTTGTCTAAGTGTATAGTTATTGACAAATTATCGATGGTCCTTTTGTTAAATAAATGGATTTTCGATACTTCCTTTATCACTCCCCGACTAGAATTAAAAAATAATTAAGGTAAAGAAAGAAAAACTCGTGTGTACAGTTTTTCTTTTAAAAAATACAAATAATACAGGATTCGTGTGGAATTGCTTTGTAATTCTCTACGAACAAAAATTGATTTTTTTGTAACTTATCGTATTCTGAATATGTGTATAGGTCATTGTATACTGTACGGTTATAATTAACTAGCTGTTACCTAAGGATTTTGCCGCGAGGATTTTGCGAGCAAACCCCATTTATATTTAGTATTTCAACAACTATAGTAATTGTAATATAACACCTACCGCTTAGAAGGATGAGAATTGCCGAGAATCAAGGGAAATGTTTTAAATTTGATCAATTTTCTGCAACGTTTACAAACGTTTTATAATCAGTAACTATAATCTAACTATAATCAAACGTTTTATAATCAATAACTAATTCGAATTTAAAACGGTTCGAACATTTTTAAAATCGAAATAGATAAGAATATTTATAACATTGTCTGAAATGTTATGAATTTAATACATCTAAGTACTCAATAAAAATTAAACGTAGTTGAAAACGAAAAATCGCATTTTAAATAGTACAGTAGAATCTGTTCTTCCGGTTAAGCCTTAATCCTCTCCCCTCCGCCTGGTAATTTCGAAAAATTCTTTCTCAGTGCGCGTTTTCATGACGTACCAAATTTTACCTCTTTAGATTCAGCAATTTGCTCTGAGCGATGATGATTCAGTCAGTCAGTCAGTCAAGACAAGTAATTTTATATATTTAGAAAATGCTAGTCCCATATTGCGATTTCCTGGAATTTTCGATTATTTTGTTATACAAGCTTGAAAGTAAAAATCATTACGCTAACAGAATATTAATCAATCAACATCTATCATAAGAAGTGATTAAACAAGTTCGTTATGAAGGAGAAGATGAAGATTTTTTCTCGACCCGAATATGATTTACGAAAATTCTAATTTTACAAACAATGAACAATTACATGTTAATTTTTAGTAACAGATGATAAAATCTTAAAGTCTTTTTTTCCATCAACACTTGTTTCATATGTCTTAAGACCTAAATAAACAGACATCGATGCCCCGTAATTGAGTAAAAATTAAATTTTGTTCTCGTGTGTCTCTGACATTCACACAAAGCATAATTACAAGTTTACATCAAAAACTGAAAAAAGCAAGCCTTAAACTGATAAGTTATCAGTTAAAGGCCCGCCTAGTGCGTCGAATCACATTGCTCGTGGCTATTCCATGCCGGGTGTCATCATGTGATTCCTAGAAGCTTACAAGGAATAGAACTGTATAACGTAACACGTCGAATCTATATATTCATTCTGAACATGATTTCTCTTGCTTTGTAGACCAATAAATAATAAACCGGTCGAATAAGTGAATTTGTCTGTAATGTTATTTGGGACTTTCATGTGAAACTTGTAATCATAGAACAAATAACGTTTATAATGTTCTGCTGTAACACGTTTTAGATCTATTCTTTTAAAACATTTCCATCTTAATATGAATAATTACAAACAAAATATATTATTAAAAATATCTGCATGAAATTAATTTCAATCAAATCTCTACAAACTGTAATTCATTTTCTTTCATTCAT